CAAGGGCATAACTTAAACCCGAATTTTATTCAATCAGAGACTTGGATTTACGTCTCGTTCTTTGTTTGGGTATGGAATCAACTTGTGTCGTTTATATTTAAAAACTTGCCTACCATATTCTTAGAATCACCCTCAAATCAATACTACCTGCTTCATCTGTTTCTGTGCCTCTAAAAAGCAATTCTACCAACTATGACTTCCACGTTATCATGCATGGCGGTGAAACAGAAATGTTGACAATGTGCCATTTTCAATCTCATCAAAACACCCAACAAAGCAACAAATAAAGCCATCTTATTCTTAATGCATCCCAACTCATTATCCTCTGGCACTCACTCTCTCTCTCTCTCTCCTTTTTCTGGACGCCGGCCGGCTTTGCTTACTACTCACACACGTAAGTTGACCATACTCTTACACAGACTGTTCATATGTCGAGTCACGCCTGTTTCTTAGTTGTGTAATTCGTGTCATATCAAAATTTATTTAAATATAATCCATTTAAATTCATATCAGGTTGAGTCGGACCCATTGATCTTGCATGCCTATAAATAGAGATTAGACAAACCTCTTGTTTTGCCAACCCACAGATATATCAACTGGCCAAAAGCAGTTCACTGAGGCATCAACACATCAAAACATTGAATCACAAACCACTTCTCAAGTCCTTTCAAACCAGTCTCTATTCTCTACCTATCTCCCTCCTCCTCCTCATTGATGAAGATTTGTCTAAGCAAAATGTCCATTTTAATGTTCCTCTTGCTTGCTACCACCACCACTAAAGCATTAGGCCAAGGCACTCGAGTTGGGTTCTACTTGCGTACGTGTCCTCGTGTTGAATCGATTGTTCAGGCCACTGTTAAAAAGCATTTCCAATCGAATCCAACGGTGGCACCCGGGTTGCTGAGAATGCACTTCCATGACTGTTTCGTCCAGGGCTGCGATGGTTCGATACTCATTGATGGCTCTTCCACAGAGAAATCAGCTGGTCCTAATCTTCTGCTGAGAGGATTTGATGTTATTGATGATGCCAAAAGCCAGCTTGAAAATGCATGCCCCGGAGTCGTCTCTTGTGCTGATATTCTTGCTCTTGCTGCCCGTGATGCCGTGGTTTTGGTAATTATTGTGTTTAATTACTTCCACACACTCACACAGATATTATCACACATTAAACATGCATATGGTATAATATTATCTGCTTATGACTATGTCTGCACGGCTTTAAAACGCACTAACATTGAATGTTTTAAACNATTAAACATGCATATGGTATAATATTATCTGCTTATGACTATGTCTGCACGGCTTTATAACGAACTAACATTGAATGTTTTAAAACTACACTTACAAGATACCTTACACGTCCTTTATTAGCAGTATGATTGGGCCATCACAATCTATCTCTTAAACATTATGGGAGTATTGATGTGAAATTTCAAAGAATAACTTCTACCACGCTACCTGACACTATTTGGTCAGAACAAGAAACACATACGACGGTGATATCATGCCGGTTGTGGGCTATACATTGTAATTGAAGTCATCAACCATGTATGCTTATTTGATTACTTCATGCAGACAAATGGACCAACTTGGTTAGTGCCTACCGGACGCAGAGATGGGCGAGTTTCTTCGGCATCTGATACTAACAATTTGCCCGCTTTCACCGACTCCGTTGACGTTCAAAAGCAGAAATTTGCTGCTAAAGGTCTTAATACTCAAGATCTGGTCACCCTAGTTGGTAAGCATCACAAGTTTACATCATAATAATATGGACATGGTTACGGTATCGAAGAAAAATTTTCGGTATCCATACCTCTAATTTTTATTATTTTAATTGGATGTTTTTACGATAAAGTTTTTATCATTTTTGTAGGTATTTTTACCACTTTGTGGATATTTTCACCACATTTGTGATAGCTATTTTCATCATTTTTCTGCAATTCAAAAAAAATATCATTTTTGTGGTTGAATTATCACATTTGTGGATATTTTTATTATAATTGTTGATTGTTTTACCACTGTTGTAGTAACTATTTTTATCATTTTTTTTGGGTACCATAACAGTGGTAAAAACACTCACAAATGTAGTAAAAGCAACTACACATGTAAAAGTACCTACAAATGCTACACAGATTTAAAAATCGGACTTAATGATGTGATTGTTATATTTGTCATTGATTTAACTGTGAATCCAATTATTTTTCAAGATCCACTACCTATTCAATGGTAGTGATTAATTTTTTTTTTTGATTCATTAAGTCAAGTTTTTAAATTTATTTTTTAAGTCTATTTAATATTTTCCTAAAAATTATCATCAATTTAGATCTTGAAATCAACTAGTAGACCCAATCACATATTTCAATTTGAAGTCTAGGAGATAAACTTTAACTGATTTAGAAAACTACTGCATTGTAGACCCTATATTTTTAGTGAAGTCTGGTCTCCCGCCCTCTCTTCTTTCTGGTTTCCTTCTTTCTCGAATTCTAGAGTGAGGAGTGAATGAGCTCATTTCAATCTATGTCCATTTGTTTTTTTTAGTTGAGTAAAATGTCACAAAGGTATGATGGAGTAAGAAAAATATATCAAAACTCGTGAAATAAGACTTTCTTTTGAGATTTTTTTCATAAGTTTATTATCTACTTTTATTTCAATTTATAAAAGTGGAAGTACAAGTACTTCTTTCCTATGAACTTTTGATTCAAGGTTAAGACTAACTGCAAATCTAATAATTAAAATAAATTAAATTGTCATATTAAGTTCCTAAATTAAATTCTCGTAACATTTCATTGACAACAATACATTCAAAGCCATGTAACTAAAAGCTTATTGTACACATTTATTTGTGTTACTNAACATTTCATTGACAACAATACATTCAAAGCCATGTAACTAAAAGCTTATTGTACACATTTATTTGTGTTACTAGGAGGACACACCATTGGAACTTCAGCTTGCCAATTGTTCAGCTACAGACTATACAACTTCAACTCCAGTGGTGCTCCTGACCCTTCAATCGATTCAGCATTCCTTCCCCAACTCCAATCACTTTGCCCGGAAAACGGAGACGGGTCAAAGCGCATCGGCCTCGACAACGGCAGCTCCGACAAGTTCGACACTTCCTACTTCTCAAATCTCAGGAACCGCCGTGGAACACTGGAGTCCGATCAAAAATTATGGACCGACGCCTCGACACAGGCTATTGCCCAACGCTTCTTGGGTATTAGAGGCTTGGCCGGGTTAACATTCAGTGTGGAGTTCGGAAAATCCATGGTGAAGATGAGTAATATCGGCGTGAAGACTGGCAGCGACGGCGAGATTCGCCGGGTTTGCTCCGCCATTAATGGATGATCAAATTAGTCATAGTGGAAGTTGATAANTATATATTAGCTATATTTCTGACCAGGAAAAAGAATGGGACCCCACAAAAAAAAAAGAAGAATGGATAAAAAGTTAATTTGTGGGTGCAATTGTTTGAACAAAATAGTGCCCCCCAGCCACCCCTCCCCACTCTACTAAAAAAAAAGATAAATTACACTTTGACGTCCTAAACTATACTCTCTATCTCACATTGTCTCATCAAATTATCATATTTTTCATCTTACATCACCAATTATGGATTTTAATTTCGCAGTCTCAATTATAGCTATTGAAATCATGTATTGTACTATACATTTGGACATTTTGAAGCATAATACGACAAACATCTAAATTCAGTGAAATGTGAAAACAATTGTAGTTGGAGCATGGAGAGCAAAGTTAGGAAATCAATAATTGAGAAGGTAAAATAAGATCATGGTCGTAGTTTGGGGGTCAATGTGTAAATTTTTTAATTGAAAAAAGGAAAAATTTATGAGTATTGTAACTTAAAATAATTAGATAAAACGTATTACGTGAATGAAATTATGCACATAAGTAAAAGAAAGCTCTGGGAAGGAAAAAAATTATAATGCCTATTTTTATTTTTTATTTTTGTTTAACGGTTAAGGGTGTTTGAATCAATTTTTGCGTATTTTTCAATTCAATCTGGTTAAAGGCAAGTAATCCACGCTAGAACTAGAGTGTTTTTGAGAGATAAATTTCTCATGACCTAACTCCAAAAGATTGTCAAGATTCAAAATTAGAACGTCCGAATTTACAACTCGCCACTATTACCATTTAGTTTGAATATGCATTATATCTTTAAAATACAATGCCTATTCAAAGACTTCTTTTCTTTCTTTATAGTCACGCCACAAAATTTCTATTATACGCAATTACCCGCTCATCAAGGGCATAACTTAAACCCGAATTTTATTCAATCAGAGACTTGGATTTACGTCTCGTTCTTTGTTTGGGTATGGAATCAACTTGTGTCGTTTATATTTAAAAACTTGCCTACCATATTCTTAGAATCACCCTCAAATCAATACTACCTGCTTCATCTGTTTCTGTGCCTCTAAAAAGCAATTCTACCAACTATGACTTCCACGTTATCATGCATGGCGGTGAAACAGAAATGTTGACAATGTGCCATTTTCAATCTCATCAAAACACCCAACAAAGCAACAAATAAAGCCATCTTATTCTTAATGCATCCCAACTCATTATCCTCTGGCTCTCTCTCTCTCTCTCTCTCTCCTTTTTCTGGACGCCGGCCGGCTTTGCTTACTACTCACACACGTAAGTTGACCATACTCTTACACAGACTGTTCATATGTCGAGTCACGCCTGTTTGTTAGTTGTGTAATTCGTGTCATATCAAAATTTATTTAAATATAATCCATTTAAATTCATATCAGGTTGAGTCGGACCCATTGATCTTGCATGCCTATAAATAGAGATTAGACAAACCTCTTGTTTTGCCAACCCACAGATATATCAACTGGCCAAAAGCAGTTCACTGAGGCATCAACACATCAAAACATTGAATCACAAACCACTTCTCAAGTCCTTTCAAACCAGTCTCTATTCTCTACCTATCTCCCTCCTCCTCCTCATTGATGAAGATTTGTCTAAGCAAAATGTCCATTTTAATGTTCCTCTTGCTTGCTACCACCACCACTAAAGCATTAGGCCAAGGCACTCGAGTTGGGTTCTACTTGCGTACATGTCCTCGTGTTGAATCGATTGTTCAGGCCACTGTTAAAAAGCATTTCCAATCGAATCCAACGGTGGCACCCGGGTTGCTGAGAATGCACTTCCATGACTGTTTCGTCCAGGGCTGCGATGGTTCGATACTCATTGATGGCTCTTCCACAGAGAAATCAGCTGGTCCTAATCTTCTGCTAAGAGGATTTGATGTTATTGATGATGCCAAAAGCCAGCTTGAAAATGCATGCCCCGGAGTCGTCTCTTGTGCTGATATTCTTGCTCTTGCTGCCCGTGATGCCGTGGTTTTGGTAATTATTGTGTTTAATTACTTCCACACACTCACACAGATATTATCACACATTAAACATGCATATGGTATAATATTATCTGCTTATGACTATGTCTGCACGGCTTTAAAACGCACTAACATTGAATGTTTTAAACTACACTTACAAGATACCTTACACGTCCTTTATTAGCAGTATGATTGGGCCATCACAATCTATCTCTTAAACATTATGGGAGTATTGATGTGAAATTTCAAAGAATAACTTCTACCACGCTACCTGACACTATTTGGTCAGAACAAGAAACACATACGACGGTGATATCATGCCGGTTGTGGGCTATACATTGTAATTGAAGTCATCAACCATGTATGCTTATTTGATTACTTCATGCAGACAAATGGACCAACTTGGTTAGTGCCTACCGGACGCAGAGATGGGCGAGTTTCTTCGGCATCTGATACTAACAATTTGCCCGCTTTCACCGACTCCGTTGACATTCAAAAGCAGAAATTTGCTGCTAAAGGTCTTAATACTCAAGATCTGGTCACCCTAGTTGGTAAGCATCACAAGTTTACATCATAATAATATGGACTTGGTTACGGTATCGAAGAAAAATTTTCGGTACCCATACCTCTAATTTTTATTATTTTAATTGGATGTTTTTACGATAAAATTTTTATCATTTTTGTAGGTATTTTTACCACTTTGTGGATATTTTCACCACATTTGTGATAGCTATTTTCATCATTTTTCTGCAATTCAAAAAAAATATCATTTTTGTGGTTGAATTATCACATTTGTGGATATTTTTATTATAATTGTTGATTGTTTTACCACTGTTGTAGTAACTATTTTTATCATTTTTTTGGGGTACCATAACAGTGGTAAAAACACTCACAAATGTAGTAAAAGCAACTACACATGTAAAAGTACCTACAAATGCTACACAGATTTAAAAATCGGACTTAATGATGTGATTGTTATATTTGTCATTGATTTAACTGTGAATCCAATTATTTTTCAAGATCCACAACCTATTCAATGGTAGTGATTAATTTTTTTTTGATTCATTAAGTCAAGTTTTTAAATTTATTTTTTAAGTCTAATTAATATTTTCCTAAAAATTATCATCAATTTAGATCTTGAAATCAACTAGTATACCCAATCACATATTTCAATTTGAAGTCTAGGAGATAAACTTTAACTGATTTAGAAACCTACTGCATTGTAAACCCTATATTTTTAGTGAAGTCTGGTCTTCCGCCTTCTCTTCTTTCTAGTTCCTTTCTTTCTCGAATTCTAGAGTGAGGAGTGAATGAGCTCATTCAATCTATGTCCATTTGTCTTTTTTAGTTGAGTAAAATGTCACAAAGGTATGATGGAGTAAGAAAAATAAATCAAAACTCGTGAAATAAGACTTTCTTTTAAGATTTTTTTCATAAGTTTATTATCTACTTTTATTTCAATTTATAAAAGTGGAAGTACAAGTACTTCTTTCCTATGAACTTTTGATTCAAGGTTAAGACTAACTGCAAATCTAATTAATAAAATAAATTAAATTGTCATATTAAGATCCTAAATTAAATTCTCGTAACATTACATTGACAACTATACATTCAAAGCCATGTAACTAAAAGCTTATTGTACACATTTATTTGTGTTACTAGGAGGACACACCATTGGAACTTCAGCTTGCCAATTGTTCAGCTACAGACTATACAACTTCAACTCCAGTGGTGCTCCTGACCCTTCAATCGATTCAGCATTCCTTCCCCAACTCCAATCACTTTGCCCGGAAAACGGAGACGGGTCAAAGCGCATCGGCCTCGACAACGGCAGCTCCGACAAGTTCGACACTTCCTACTTCTCAAATCTCAGGAACCGCCGTGGAACACTGGAGTCCGATCAAAAATTATGGACCGACGCCTCGACACAGGCTATTGCCCAACGCTTCTTGGGTATTAGAGGCTTGGCCGGGTTAACATTCAGTGTGGAGTTCGGAAAATCCATGGTGAAGATGAGTAATATCGGCGTGAAGACTGGCAGCGACGGCGAGATTCGCCGGGTTTGCTCCGCCATTAATGGATGATCAAATTAGTCATAGTGGAAGTTGATAAAGTATGGAAGTAGAGATTACTTCTAATATATATTTTTCTAATTTTTTTTTTTAATCAATCATCTATCATGTATTCAAATGGGATACATTACCCGCAAGTGGATCTCCCACTAATTGTGGCTGATCCGTGAAAAAGGTTACAGAAAAAATTAATTAGAGCTGGTCTGGATCTATTATGTTTGATTAATGTAAGATAACACTTTACAAATGTTAAGAATATAATGAATAAAGAGGAGTGATTTTTCAGTGAGTTATGTTTGAAGTTTGTCATTTAATCACTCAAATCTCCGTGGTCAATGTGTATTAATAAATTACACAGAGATCTCCTAAAATTTGTAAGCGTCTAATACTTAGATCTCTTAAGTTTAAAATGTAACACTTAGGCTCCAAATACTTTAATAAAAGATTGAATATCAAATATTTTAAATTTTACAATTAAAATTTATGTTCTATTATATCATTTATTGAAATAAAATCAAAAAAAAAAATTTATTTTTTTACTTAAAAAATCGTAATTAGTATACAATTATACTATCTATTTGAATAAAACTAAAAGAAAATCAAATAAGAGGTCTAAGNAATAAAATCAAAAATAAAAATTTATTTTTTTACTTAAAAAATCGTAATTAGTATACAATTATACTATCTATTTGAATAAAACTAAAAGAAAATCAAATAAGAGGTCTAAGTCATTCATAATAGAACATGAATTTTACAATCAAAATTCATGTTCTATTATATTATTTATTGAAATAAAATTTTTTTTTTTTGAAAAAAATCATAGTTAGTATACAATTATACTATTTATTAGAATAAAACTAAAAAATAAATAAGAGGTTAAACTATAATGAATACAATATCTTCTAGCTTTAACTGAGGGAATTTGGTAGTTTAATTTAGTCGTTTAAACGATGAAATTAAATTTCAATTGTACACTAATTATGATTATTTAAGAAAAAATTAAAATTTTAATTTTAATTTTATTTCAATAAATGTTACAATAGAACATAAATTTTGATTTTNATTTTTTTTTTTGAAAAAAATCATAGTTAGTATATAATATACTATTTATTAGAATAAAACTAAAAAATAAATAAGAGGTTAAACTATAATGAATACAATATCTTCTAGCTTTAACTGAGGTAATTTGATAGTTTAATTTAGTCGTTTAAACGATGAAATTAAATTTCAATTGTACACTAATTATGATTATTTAAGAAAAAATTAAATTTTTAATTTTAATTTTATTTCAATAAATGTTACAATAGAACATAAATTTTGATTTTAAATTTAAAATATTTGATATTTTATTTTTGATTGGAGTATTTTTAGTCTAAGTATAACATTTTAAACTTGAAGGGTCTAAGTATTTTACGCCTATAAATTTCAGAGAGTCTGAGTATAATTTACTAACAAACATTGAGGCAGGGGTTTAAGTGTTAAGTGCGTACAAACTATAATATTTCAAATATCAGGGGGTCTGACTGATTAAGTGACAAACCTCAGTATATTTGAGTGTAATTCTCCGCTATTTTTTAAGAATATTTTTATTATTTAGTTTTTTAAAAAAATTAAAATTTTCATGTGAATTCCATGGTAGTCATGTGAATTCTATATTTGGCATTTCTGTGTACCAAAATCAAATGTTTTGAGATTCTGGCGCTACTATTTATCGTGTTAACTTTATTCACTGCCCATGAATATATCGTNGAGTCTAAGTATTTTACGCCTATAAATTTCAGAGAGTCTGAATATAATTTACTAACAAACATTGAGGCAAGAGTTTAAGTGTTAAGTGCCTACAAATTATAATATTTCAAATATCAGGGGGTCTGACTGATTAAGTGACAAACCTCAGTATATTTGAATGTAATTCTCCGCTATGTTTTAAGAATATTTTTATTATTTATTTTTTTAAAAAAATTAAAATTTTCATGTGAATTCCATCGTAGTCATGTGAATTCTATATTTGGCATTTCTGTGTACCAAAATCAAATGTTTTGAAATTCTGGCGCTACTATTTATCGTGTTAACTTTATTCACTGCCCATGAATATATCGTTGAATGTAATTTTGTCGATTTTCTACAATCTATCATACATTCCGTAATGATCTTCCGTGAGTGGAGGGGTGACCAGACACAAATTAAAAGGCAAAATTATCTCCGTTTTTTATTTTTTTGAAAACGTTAAAANTCTACAATCTATCATACATTCCGTAATGATCTTCCGTGAGTGGAGGGGTGACCAGACACAAATTAAAAGGCAAAATTATCTCCGTTTTTTATTTTTTTGAAAACGTAAAAAGAAAGAGGTTATCGAACGATCTCTTATTTTTCTTGTCTTTTCGTATACGAAAATACTACATAAGTTTTAAATAGAAACAAAGTTGAATCGGAAGGTCAAATGTAATAAGCCTTCTATCCATCGAAGATATAAAAAAATAGAATTGAAGCCTTTNCTGTTTTTTATTTTTTTGAAAACGTTAAAAATAAGAGGTTACCGAACGATCTCTTATTTTTCTTGTCTTTTCGTATACAAAAATACTACATACGTTTTAAATAGAAACAAAGTTGAATTGGAAGGTTAAATGTAATAAGCCTTCTATCCATCGAAGATATAAAAAAATAGAATTGAAGCCTTTTTATTTCAATTTGAGAACGCATCCAAAGAGACAAAATCGGGTATAAAAAATAAAATTTAGTAAGGCAACTACAATTAATGGTTAACCTCTCTAATAATTAGCTACTCCAATTTATTTTATATTTTGGACATCGAATATAACCGACCTCGAAATATAATTAAACAAAAATTCAACTCAAATGAAATAAGAACTAAACTTAAGAAACAAAAATATGCAATCAATGATAATTAGGCGATAGACAATTGATCAAGCAACTAATATGATTTTGAGAACTCGCACAGGTAGTCTAACGGTGTAAGATCGAACTTAGACGAAGCATAGACTTGGACAGTTGAAGTTTGACTCATGTTGGTATCTCATGAACTTAACTAATATTTGTGATTTACGAGTGATCGTAAGTATTTGATAGTTTCTCTCGCATGAATGAGTTCAAAGTGACCCTGCCTTAGAGAGATTTCACCTTAAAAAAAATGTGATATGACATAAATCAAAACAAAATAAAATACCTAATGTGGTATTTTTGTCATTCATTATTGATTGATTTTAAACTGGAAGTGTCGAACTATGTTAAGAGCAACTCTAGGGAAGACTTATTATTTTAGGGAGAATTATATCTAGACCTTCTGAGATTTGTCACTTAATCACTCGATCCCCTGACATTTGAAATATTATATACAGACCCCCTGAAATTTGTACACGGGTAACACTTAGACTCCTAATGTAAATATATCATTTAATGAATTATACTTAGACCCTCCTAAAGTTTGTAAGTATATAATACTTAGACTCCTTGAGTTTAAAATATTATAGTTAGACCAAAAATACTTCAATCAAATATATAATATCAAATATTTTAAATTTTACAACAAAAATTTAAATTATATTGTATCATTTATTAAAATAAAATTAAAATTAAAATTTATTTTTTTCTTAAAAAATCGTAATTAGTATATGTTAAGAACAGTAGAGTAGTATGTATAAAGTGTTAATAGTAAGAGGGAGTATGTGTAATTCTTATTATTGTAGGTTAATTATAAATACAAATGATGTATGAGAGTTAGGTTAAATTTTAACCACTCTCTGGTTTCTCTCAAATATTGTGTTCTCTAAACTTAACATGGTATCAGAGCCTAGTTTAATCCTAAATATATTTCGAAAATAAGTTAACTCCATTTGTGGTGGTGGTACTGTTGGTCGTCAAAGCCACAGTGGTGGTGGTGATACGGTTGTTGTAGCTGTGTGTACTGTTTGCCGTTGTTGGTGGTGGTGTGGTACTGTTGATCATCATTTGGTGTTTGTTGAGGTGGTGTAGCTATGGTGGTGTGGTCTTCGTGGTGGTCTGTCGTTCGTTGTGGTTGTGAAGGCGCAGTCGAAGTGTTCGTTTTCATCGGAATGGTGTGTTCGTCTAATCTATGTTGATCTGTGAGGTTGATCTCAGTTAGGTTTGTTAATCTGTGTTGATCTGCGCAGTCGAAGTTAGAGTTTACCGAAACCCTAATCGACGAATAAGAAGGGGTGCAGTGAGGACCTGTGACATGATCTCAAGACGAAGGGGAAGATTGGTACGGGGCATGAAGCTGGTGGACTATGTTATTTTGATATTGATTCACCTACTCGGGTTTTACAGACCTCGCAATCTCTTTTTTAGTGACATTGTCGTCTTGGACATCCCTCTCTTCAGAATCTAAAGCGCCAAGTTCCCAGTCTTAGTTGTGTGCTGTCTTTGTCTTGTGAAGCTTGTCAACTTAGTAAGCATCATTGTGTGTCATTTCAGTCTAGAGTCAATAATTGTGTCTATTCTATTTGAGTTGGTACATTCAGATGTATAAGGTCTAATAAAGAATATTTTATCTAATAAATATCCTTATTTTGTGTCGTTTGTGGATAACTATTCTCGTGTGGCTTGGTTGTTTCTGATGAAAGCTCGGTCTGAATTATTTTCTATTTTTAAGACCTTTCCTAAAGAAATAGAAACTCAATATAGTTGTTGTATCTATATTTTACGTTCTGATAATGCTCAAAAATATGAATATGATCATTTTTCAGCTTATCTTAGTAAAACTGGAATTATTCATTAGACTTCATGTGCTTACACATCTTCACAGAACGGTGTTACTGAACGCAAAAATCGTCATTTGTTGGAAGTCACCTATGCCCTCTTATTCCAGATGAATATTCCCCTATATTTTTGGAGTGATGTTGGTCTTACTGCTTGTCACCTTATTAATCGTATATCATCCTCTTTGTTAAATGGACAAAGTCCATATTCTGTCCTTTTTCCTGGTAAGCTCTTATTTTCCCTAACTCCTAAAATTTTTGAATATGTCTGTT